GTGAATAGTGCAAGTGGTTAACGTACTTAACTGCAGACCAAAAGATTGGAGCTCTGTGTCTACCCAGAGATGGTTCATATGTAAGGTCTGGCCATCTACTGAAAAATCAGCCATTGAAAACTGTAGGGAGCACAGTTCAACTCTGCACACATGGGGTCGCTACGAATTGGAATCAACATGACTGCAACTAACAACAACAGCAACAACCACAAAGTGGTCAAAATGTAACACCTGCCCTCATAAATGAGCTAAGAAAAGCCCCGGGAGCCTGACACACTGGCATATGCCCTGTTTAGCTTTCATTACCATCATTTGAAACCCTGTGTTCTTCTAACAGTGCCCACGGTTTCCCTTGTGCCATTCTGCTTGAAGACTGCTTGTAAGAGTCAACGTTTATTAGGTGAAATGTATATCTATCCCTTTTCTTCTATATTTTCCTGGCCGCTGCCTTGTTGACTGACCTCAGGCAAGTCACTGACCTTGTGTATGGCAAAGGCAGCAATGATGCTACTCCAGGCAGCACAGCTCAGCAAGGAGGGTGGGGGCTCTTACTGTTGGTGGTTGTTGTTAGCTGCTGTCAAGTTGGCCCCTGACTCATGGTGACCCCATGTGTTACAGAGTAGAACCGCTCCATAGGGCTTTCTTGGCTGTAATCGTCACAGAAGTAGTTCACCAGGCCTTTCTTCCGTGGAGCTGTTGGGTAGGTTTGAACCACCAACAATTAGGTTAGCAGCTGGTTGCACACCATTGTGTCATCCAGTTTCCTTCTTGTTCATCAGTGGCTGCATAACCTGGGGCAAACTGCAAATCACTAAGTGCCTCAGTTTCTTGGTCTATAAAATGGATCTAGTAACCACACCTTTCTCATGGGCTATTTAAAGTACTTAAGATGGTGCCAAGCATGCTGCAAACACTCAAAAATGTTTCATAGCTTATTGTGATTACCTACAAAACAAGATTAGGCTAGATCAGGTTTTCTCCTGCCTATTAGCCCACCCCAGCCTGATTCCTCTCTTTCCCATTCTCGTTTTCTCCTCTCGCACTTCTGGATTCCAGCAAAGCTTGTGCTAGGAGCACTGAGCAGATGACCATACTAGCCAGCTGACTGCCATCCTCAACTCTGAGGATGCCTTTTCCTCAAGGGCTCTTAATACAACCAGCAATGAGCAGGGCTACTCTTCCCTGTGCTGCAGAGGCAGGCATTATCCTTTCATGAAATGATTCACTTCCCAATGTCAAAGAGCTAGGGACTCATCAAAAAGCAATGAAGTAAGACACTAATAAAAGCAAAATGGCAGTATTCTTATAAACGAAATTGATCATACTAAGGAGGAGCAAGCAAAGTGATGCATAAACCAGTTTTCCTGCCAAAGGAATATGGGGTAGCAGATAAGGAGCTGGCTCCCCAGTGCCATTCAGCCATCTTGTAATTCTGCACCTCACTCCTCAGTATTGCCCAGAGTTGTTTCAATTCTGGGTTTCCACAAGACCCACAAAAGGGGCATGAATCATCAGTGAGGAGGAGGAGATTTCATCTGGCCTCTTTCATTTCAGTTCCCCCGATTTCTGCACCCAGATGAGACAAAACTTACCATCGGACCCAAAACTACTGTAGATACTCCCTAGTTAATCCCCTTTCTCTTAGATGTGATGGGGAAGCAGGTTCTTGGGAAGGATTTTACAGTATGCTACAATTTATCTGTGTTAAATGGGGGAGTGTGAGGAGGGGCGGAAAAATTCTGTTTTTGTGGCAACCAGAATATTTAGTGGTTGTGAAAAAAAGAAAAGAAAACAAACAAACCTTTTTACAATGGTGGTGGTTGGGGCCGCTGGTTCATGCAGGGTGGTCAAAGAAACACTATTTGAGAAGGACATGTCTGGGCTGAGACCTGGAGGAACTGAGGAGCAAGTTTGGGGACCCTGGGAAAGAGAATACAGGCAGGGACGGTGTGGTGCAGTGAATTACTTGGTACGACCCCTCTAGCCAGGGTCTTTGTGACTCTTCTAGATTACTGGGTGGAACTATGCAAATGTAATGTGTTTGTGGCTCGCCAAGGGGATTAGACACCTTGCTAATAATCTAAATAAGGTACACGGTACCCTTGTGGGGGTGGGACCATGGAAATAAGGTATATGGAACCCTAATATAGGGACTGGTCTGTTATCCTGCTAGGCTTAAAATGAGCCCTCTGACTGGCAGAAAGGGGATCTCACTGCCATCAAAAGAGAGATGCCAAGAATGGAGTGTGTCCTTAGATTTGAGATCTCTGCACACAGAGATGGCAGAGACAACCAGCAGAGGATGGCAACAGAACTGAAAGTTCTGAATATGAGACAGAGTGTTGGGCTTGCTGGCCCACAGAGTGAGAATGGTGAATGCTTTTGGGCAGTGGGCTTGATGGCAGAGTGGGGTGCACCTAGATGTACCTATTGACAGAGCTAAAAGAGCTTTGTAACACTTGCCCAAGCAGGGCAGAGGCCAGGCCCAGAGGCCAAGGGCCAAAGAGACGCATGTCTGAGGTCATGGCCAAGAGGAGGCCGTCTTGATTGAAGAATTGTATCCTGAGTGTTTCAGAACCTGAACTGTGGCCTGTTACTTCTCTAATAAACCTCATAATTGTGAGCATTGTCTGCGTGTTCTGTGCGGCCATTACAACAAATTATTGAATCCAGCAGAGAAGAGGTGAGTGCTATGGGAGGGATGGCTGGTGTCAGAAATGATAAAAAGGTTGGAGGGTGGCAGCATGTTTGGCTTGGGCTGCTGATGGTGATTCTCTCTCCCCCTAGTGAAGTTAGAGGAGGTCAGAGGAGGATGTTGCCCCTATGACCTTTTTGCAGACAGCAAGTGTAAAGTCCTGAGGTGGAAGTGTCCTTGGTGGGTGGGAGGACACCAAGGAGGCTGATGCAACTGGAACAGCATCAGCAGGTAGGAAAGAGGCAGGGGAGAAGGACCGAAAGGCAGAGACAAGACTACATAGGCATGGAGGACTTGGACTTAATCCAGGAGAAGGGGAAGGACCTTTTGCTTTTGCCATGTATGATGTATCAGACAGTCTCTGGGCTATTCATAAGGTTGTCCAGTAATGTATCAGACAGTGTTTCTCTGCTATTCATAAGGTGTCCTCTGGCCAATTCTTTGGGAAGTAGATGGCCTCTTCCTTCTTCTGAGTCTGTCTCAGTCTGTAAGCTGCTTTGAAACTTGTGTACCATGTGCAACCCTGCTGGTGTTCGAAACACCGGTGGCATAGACTCCACACTCACAGCAACATGCAAACCAGCAGAGTACGACAAACTGACAGACAAGTTCATCTCCCTTAGCTGTTCGAAACCTCTCCACCCTCCCCTTACCTGGATCCTGCCATGGGCCCTGGCTTTCCCTCCTTCCTGCCTGCAAGGGACTGCTTTAAAGTGTTAAACAGTAAAGATGTCATTTTGAAGACTAAGGTGCACCTAACCCAAGCCATGGTATTTTCAATAGCCTCATATGCATGTGAAAGCTGGACAATGAATAAGGAAGACCCAAGAACAATCAATGCCTTTGAATTGTGGTGTTTGTAAAGAATACTGAAAATACCATGAACTTCCAGAAGAACAAACAACTTTGTTCTGGAAGAAGTGCAGCCAGAATGCTCCTTAGAAGCAAGAATGTCCAGACTTTGTCTCATCTACTTTGGTCAAGTTGTCAGAAGGCACCAGTCCCTGGAAAAGGATATCATGCATGGTAAAGTAGAGCATTAACAAAACAAGGGAAGAACATCAATGAGATGGATTGACACAGTGGCTCAAGCATAGCAAGCATTGTGAGGATGGCACAAAACTGGGCAATGTTTTGTTCTATTGTACACAGGTTCCCTATGAGTTGGAGCCCACTCGATGGCATCTAACAACAATAGCAAGCAGCCTAAAGCGGATAGGGGAGATAGTTCTATTGGCCAAAAGAGGTCACTTCCTGAGGCCAAATTGTATACCAGGTGTGAGGACAGAAGTGGCTCAGCCTTGGTAAATGAAAATAAATATGAACATTCCACATTATCACTCTGTGTTGTGATTTTGTGCAGGTGTGTGGGCTGTGGAATGTGTGTGAGATGTACTTTGCAGGGAAATTCTTCAGCCCCTTTCAGTCTTACCAACAGGACAGGTTTATAGACATCATTTCACAATCATGCCTGTATGAAAAACTTAGCAGGCACAAAGAGTGGGGTTGCACAGGGGACCCTCACAACAGCCAGGTGAAGGTAGGAGAGGTGGCAAAAAAAAAAAAAAAATATATATATATATATATATATAGTCAACAAGGTCCCTGCCTAAATCACACAGCTTGCTCCTGACAAGTGATGGGCCAAGATACTTTGGCTCTGAATTCAGGTTCTTCCCAGGATGCAGTTTCATGCCTCTTAGTCTAGTAACTGACCATGGGAGTGACCTCAAAATGGAATCCTTGGATGGTGTCAATGGTTAATGCATTTGGCTGCTCACTGAAAGGCTGTAGGTTCAAATCTACCCTGAGGTGCCTTAGAAGAAAGGCCCAGTGATCTACTTCTGAAAAATTAGCCACTAAATTAGCCACTGAAAACTCTAGGGAACACAGTTCTACTCTGACATATATGGGTCATCCTGAGTTGGGGTTAACCCAGTGACAACTGGTTTAAGCCCAAAATGAAGAAGATCCAAGCACAAGGGGAGACAATTTTGTCTTGTCAAAGGAAGACAATACTCTATTGAGAATAACACAAAGGAGCTCTATTCTATTTTGCCTTGATATTAGGGAATGTGTCCTCTTGATACATATGGTGAGGCTGTATCTTTTTCTAGCCATTCTTTTGTGCGAAGTCCATGGGAAAAATAGTTTGTGACAAGATGCACTGTTGCTAGTGTGACAGGGTGCCATTGTTCTAATGAAAACCCAAGCAGACCCGGTTGTACAGACCTTGCTCTTGCATAAGCCATGCGTGGGTCCTTGTAAATCAGAAGGGAAGGGGAAGAAACGACAAGTGACTTACTAAGTAGACATCAAGCACTGAGGCATTATCATCCTGTGTTTCCAGAGCATCTGGCTCAGAGGTCAGGTAGATGGTCCTCTCTTCCAAAGTAAATGTTGAACTGGAAGGCAATCCTTTTCTGGAAAGATAAAGAAGGGTCATGAACATGCTGCCACCAGAACAAAATCCAAAGACACCTCTGTGATTGTGGCTAACAAGTTTGAAGTGCAGCTGTTTTGGGGGATGAAAAAAATATTTTTTATAGTGTTCAAAGAAAATATGGTCACCCCGGGAGATACAGTAGCTGATCTAAGATTTGATTTTGATCACTATGAGTCGGGATCCACTTGATGGCAATTGTGTGTGTGATTATTTATTTTTAAATAGTGCATTTTCTCTTCCTGCTTAACTCTGGATGGTTGTTTCTTGTTGGTTAAGTTCTCCTCATGCAATGGGTAAAGTACTCGCTGCTAAACAAAAGTTTGGAGATTCAAACCCACCAGCCACTCAAAGGAAGAAAGATGAGGCAGTCCACTTCCGCAGAGATTTATAGTCTTGGAAACCCTATGGGACAGTTCTGCTTTGTCCTACAGAGTCACAATGAGTTGGAATTGACTTGACAACACACAACAACAACAACAACCCCCAGAGTTCCTGATTCAGTAGATCTGGTGTGGGGTGCATAAATTTGCATTTGTAATAAGCTCCGAGGAGATGCTGATGCTGCTGGACCTAGGACCTCACTTTGAGCAACCCTGAATTACATAATTAGAGTCATAGTACATGCTTTGATCATAACGGAAGCAGATCATACAACACTAATTATTGATTCAATGGTAAAGGGTTCAGGATCATAAGTTTTAAAGGGGAGGCCTAAGTTTACCCACAGTAACAATGACAACAAAAGCCAAGGGAATGCAGGAGGAGAGCTGTTTATGAGGGGAGACCATTTTGTTTTGTTGTGATATGATAACCAGTGTTAACTGTTGAAGGAATTGGTCCATTCTGCTGCTAGCTGCCCTGGAGATGACCCCTGACTCACAGAGATGCCATGCACAATGAATGAAACACTGCCTGGTCCTGCACCATCCCCCTGATCAGTGTGGATCAGACCATTGTGATCCACAGGGTTTTCACTGGCGGGTCTTCAGATGTAGATTGTTAGGCCTTTCTTCCTCGTCTATTTAGTCTAGAAGCTCCACTCAAGCCTGTTCAGCATCCTAGCAACAAGCAAGCTCCCACCGACAGACAGGTGGCAGCTGTGTATGAGTTGTACTGGCTGGGAACTGAACCTGGGTCTCTCTCATGGAAGGTGAGCATTCCATCGCGGAACCAAACAGTATTTAAATCAGACATTACTCAAGGCTCAAACCCAAAAAAATCCCAAACCCACCGCCATCGAGTCAATTCTGACTCATGGCAACCCCATGTGTTTCAGAGTAGAACTGTGTTCCATATGGTTTTCAATGGCTGATCTTTCTTTTGGAAGCAGATTGCCAGATCTTTCTTCTGAGGTGCCTTCTGGGTGAACTTGATCCCCCAACCTTTTGGTTAGCAGTTGAGCACCTTAGCCATTTGTGTCACCTAGAATCTATAGAAAATTCCTGTACCCATGAAGATTCCCCAAGTACTAAAGGTAAGATACATTCTAAAAAGGATTTCTACCTAAATATCTGTGCTACCGATGAGTTTGTTTCTTTCTTCTATTCTGGTACTGGGGAATATGCTGGCTATTGTCCCAATTGCTTACTGTGTTGCTGGTTTCCTGGGCATGAAGCCTATTTAGCATCAATTTCTCATTTCTCTGGCTGAGGGTTTCCCAGTTTCTGTTTCAGGGCTTACTTCTAAGTTTGGAAGAATGACCTCCAACTCCAGTGATCAGGTCAGAGGCTCACCAGTCCCCAGCTCATGGCTTGGGAAGATCCATTTCTATAAGCAATGTACGTGACTGGGTTGAGGAGTCTGGCTGACTGCCTAGGTCTGCACCATCAAGTTTTGCTCTAATTCCCTTGATGCAAACTGTCTGAGGGTAATGACTCTTAATTTGCAACCAGTTGCCCAGGAAACTCTTGGCCACCCAGGTTTCGTTCTTCCTATGTGAACCCATGAACTGCAGGTCCTTGTGATTTCCCCTAGGCTCTGGTCACTGCACAAGTCACAAATTTCTCGACTCTGACTCATGTTGACCCCATGTGTGCAGAGCAGAATTGCACCCAATAGGATTTTCAAGGCTGGAAACTTTGGCTGCCTGTCTTCTGAGGCACCTCTGAGTGGACTCGAACCACCAACCTTTCAGTTACTAGTACAGTGGTCAGCTGTTTGCACCACCCAGGGGCACTAAAAAGCAGTGTGTTTTAAGTTGCTGTTGGGTTGATTCCCACTCACGGTGGCCTCGTATGCTGTAGAATAGAACTGCTTCATGGGGTTTTCTCAGCTGTAATCTGTTACACAGACTCTCGGCAAGTACAAATGGACTTGACAGCACCTAACAATAACAATCTTGATGGAAGTAGACTGCCAAGCCTATCCTTCCACTATCCACTGCCGGGTTAGGTTCGAACTATCAACCTTTAGAGAAGCTGCCAAATGCAAACTGTTTGGGCCACCCAGGAACCTCACATAGAAGAGGAATTTTACGTCTTTCAGCACTCCCCCTCTAGAAGAGGTACAGCTTTAACTTTCCTTAGAAGTGAGAATGGTGAGACCTTGCCTCTCATATTTTGAAGATGTTATAAGGAGGGACCAGTTCCTGGAGAAGCACATCATGTTTGGCAAAGTAGAGGGTCACCAAAAAAGAAGATTGTTAATGAGATGGATTGATACGATGGCTGCAACAATAGGCTCAAGTATGGCAATGATTTTGAGGGTGGTGCAGCACCAGGCAGAGTTTCATTCTGTAGTATATGAGGTTGCTGTGAATTGAAACTGACTCGATGGCATCTAACATCCACAAAAGTACTACCCTCGGGAGCGGACAGGAGTGGCCCTGCAAAGCAATACACTCTTCTCCATTTACAAAAATGCTTAATTCTGCTGGCTTCATCAGTGAACATGAGCCTGGCTGGACTGCTGACCACATCATTGATAACTGATAGCCAGAAACACTCCGGTTTCTGTTTGCAGACCTAATGAGTGCTATTTAGCTAATTACTCTGATGGCACTTGGTCAGGAGTCATAGGTTTCGATCCATAGTCTTCATCGTTTAAAAGTCATTCTCTCACTGCCTGATTTTTTATTTTTTTAACCAAAGTCATAACATCATAACATGTCACATAGAATACAGACCCTGTTACCAAATAAATAGAAAGATAGATAAAAATCCACAGATTCTAACTCACAGTGACCCTATAGGACAAAGTAGAACTACCCAATAAGGTTTCCAAGGCTGTAAATCTTTATAGAAGCAGACTGCCTCATCTTTGTCCTGCAGAGTGGCTAGTGGGTTTGAAGCAATGATCTTCTGCTTAGCAGCCGAGCTCTTAACCACTGTATCACCAGAGCTTCTTATGATACAGATAACAGGGTGAAAAGCACCAGCTTCTTGCCTCCTGCCTCCCCATCCCCAGGGAGCCCCTGAGGGACAGCTCCTTTTATGGTTTCTCCAGTTCTTCTGAGGGTTCCCTTCATATCTTTGGATGGATAAATCAGAAAACAGAGATTCTCAACCTAAGGGAGCATTCATTGGTTGAATATGAAGGATATTACCCTGTCCAACTCTACCTTCTTCCCAACCTTAGTAACTTATATTTCATTTATTTTGCAACTGTAACATACTTGTTGTTGCTGTTGTTATGTGCCATCGAGTTGACCTGACTCATAGCAACCCCTCCTTGGAGTTCCGAGGCAGTATCACTACAGAAGTAGATTGCCCCATCTTTCTTCCGAGGAGTGGCTGGTGGGTTTGAACCGCCAGCCTTCTGGTTAGCAGTAAAATGCCTTAGGCACTACACTACCAGAGCTCCCGTAACATGCTTAATAATTTGTGTGTGTGTGTGTGATTTGGGTAAAAGTTTACAGAACAAATTCACTTCTCATACGGCAGCTCACATACACTTTGTCTTATGACATTGACTACAATTTCCCACAGTGCAACAGCTCACCTCCCACTTCCTCCCCATAGTTACCTCCCCACTGTGTCCTTCCCTCCTCCATGAACTCCTGTCCCCTAAGGTGTCTCCCTGTGCATACACAGCCCTTCTATTCTCCCATGATTGTTCTCTCCAAGGAGTGTATCTACCTAATGTAAATGTTCAGCTCATATATCTGTCTTTTGTTTGGCTGGAAGCCACAGGAGTGAGTTCAATTCCAGACCTGAAGGGCAGCAAGGGACCATAATCTCAGGGGTTCCATCAGGCTCTATCAGACCAGCAAACCTGGTCCACCCTCCCCCCTTTTAAAAAAAATAATAATTTTGAGTTTTGTTCCACATTGTTCTCCCACTCTATCTAGAATCTCCTACATAGATCCCCCTCCAAGTGGTTGGCAGTGGTAGCCAGGCACCATCTAGTTCTTCTGGCCTCATAGTCATATAGGCTGAGGATGACATGGTGTACCAGTCGCTTGGACTAATAGTTTCCATCCATCTTTGTTTTTCCTCATTCTTCCTTGCTCTGGACAAGGAGAGACTCATCATTGCATCGAGATGGCTACTTTCAACCTTTTAAGGTCCCAGTCACTACTCACCAAAGTAGGATGTCGAACAGTGTTTTGTGGAGTATGTTATGCCAATTGAGTTTGATATATCCTGTGACTATGGTCCAGAGCCCACCAGTCCAATTACTCACTCGCTCTGGGTAGCTGGCTGTGGCCAAGAAGTGACTACAACTTTGCTCCTTGTCTGCTCTACCAAATACCTGGGAATTCTTACAGAACATAGCAATACACTTGTAGAAACACTGTCTGCCGACCCTACATGGTCTTGGGCACCATCCTCCCTGCAAAGACATACCTAACAGTTCAGCCTGTCCACCCATCTATTCATCCTTACAGCCATGTTTGCCTTCATGGACAATGCAGTACTGTATGTGCAAAAGGGTTCATCTTTGTTGTCTGTACCTTCCATGCACCTCTCTATGTCTTCGTCTTCCTCAGTACCACCGTGTTGATCACTCACATGTGACACACTGACATTCTCTTCA